CTTGGGAGGGAGGGACAAGCACAGAAGAGCAAGCTCCACCCCCAGAAACCCATGCCCGCCCTCTGAGCTGCACTGGAGCATTTCACCAGAGGTCCCATCAGAAGGAGATTTTAAATGCCCTAAAATAACACAATAGCTCTGTAGTCTTGGTGAGTTAGGTCACCTCATTTTCCTCTTCTGTAAAAGGGACCTCATGGGGTTGCCTGCAGAGTAATCAGGATGATGTTGCCTGTAGCCCAGTCCCAGATGCACAGAAATGCTCAGGACACAGTGGGATTATTGTTTCACCTCCAAACTGCCAGGTTGCGGTAGGTGATCTCAGGCATCCATGTAAAGTAGAAATTATAGGGAATATCACAGTTTCAGAGAATCAGGTGTGTGTGTGTGTGTGTGTGGTCAACGGAGGATGCCATATTGAACCAGGGGGTAGGGAGGGCCAGTGTGCATGACCAGGCCCTCCTGTTCCAGCACCATATCCTCATAAACCGTAAGACAAGACGTTGTGAAGGGTCAGCTGAGAAAAGCATCTGAAATGAAGCTTGGAGAAAGAATGGCGGCCCTGACTTCCAACTGAAAGGAAAGTTCCTTTTCAGTTGTGCAAATTATACCCTGATGGCCATGAGGAGGAAGCAGTTGGAAAGGGGACTTGGCCTGGGGAGGGAAGTTGTGGGTCCTTCAGCACCTGGTACCAGACCCGGATCCTGAGCTCCTCTTCTATAGTAAAACTGAAAGTCAGACCTGCTCGACTGTAACCAAGATTCAAGGCTCAAGTGTCCCCAGATGTAGGCTTTTGGGCCGTGCTGGGTTGGTGACATGTTGGGCAAATATAAAGTAATAGAATACTTTACTAAAAGAATATTCCAGGGGTATCATTTATACCTTATGCAGATGTCTAGCCCATTTGCAGTAAAAGGTTAAATGGAAAAGAAAGTGACAACTGTGGTGACATCTGCATAGCAAAAGGACAGGTGAAAAGAGTCTCAATAGAGATGGTGAGCAACATCGTGATGAGAAATTGGTGGAATTTTTTTCTTTCCTTTTTTCTCTGTATTCTAGATTTTCACCAATAAAAAAACATTGCTTTGGGGGACAAAATCTACAACCATGTAGTGGTTTATGAAAAAAATTATTTTATTTCATGTCAACATCCAAAAATATGTTTCTCTCAATGGTTATAACCATTTTTATTCAATTACTGCTCAAATTTAAGACTTAACTGTCGACGATAACCAGCCATAGTTTTAATGAAGTCTGTCCCAACTCCCAGCCAAATACTCTTTCCAGTGTGTCCAATTACAAAAATAATACAATTTAGTATTGAGATTGATGCCTCTATTCAAGGGAACACAATCCGTGGCCTGGGGAGCACAGCGCCTCACAGGCAGTGGAGCCCTCTGCCCAGGGACTGCAGGAAAGAGGAGCTCTATGGAGCCTTAGGAGCATCGATGCAGAAATAGGCAGGATTAGCCAGGAGGTCAGCGACTGCCTTGTAAGGCCAGTAGGTCAATCAGCAAACAAGGAAAGAGCATTTGGCTTAAGGTGATTGGCAGGGGTTGCAAGTCTGCCCTTATTTAAAACAGGGAAATCATCACAGATTCTTGGCAGGTGGGGCCTGGCTGGCTGGATAGACTGCGTTTCTGGTCCAGCGCAGCATTTACAGGGGCAGGAAAGCTATCTACATTTCAGTTTGCTGACTCGGCACCTGGGGTAGGAGTGGCTCCATCTTGTGCCTAGAAGGTTATTTCAACAAGTGACATTTATTTTCCTTTGCTTTACTCCTTTTCGTTCTGCGGTGTGTCTGTGCTCCTCCCTAAAGGTCACTGAAACATTGTACTCATCCACAAGGACACATGTTTAAAAAACAATAGAGGAAAACTCTTGTTCGGGACACAGTCAAAGAGCAGCCGGGGGCCTTCCCTCTCAGCCCTCATGTGGAGTCTGGAGGGTTCTAATGAGGACACCCCTGCTCTCCAGGAAAAGAGGAGCAGGTGTGGCTTGAGGGAGCAGGACTTCCTCTCATCCGGGTCTTCCTGCTGCTGCCAGGACTGACCCCAATCTGACGGAGCTGAGCTCAGCCAGCCTGGGGGCAGGGGGTGGGGAGAGCAGATCAGACTCAGGCAGAGGGGTGAGCAGAGATCCAGGTGCTGAAGTTTGGACTTTTACTTTAACCTCTGAGACCCTGGCGACTTTATCTGACCCGGAACAGCGCTCTTCTGGCCGTCACAGAATCTGAGAACTCATCTAATCTGACTTCTTCATGTTAGTCACATGGAATCCATTACATGTACACATGAGCACAATTACTAGTGAAATGGACAAGCTGGAAAACCAAATGAAAAGAAGCCATTGACATATTTTGATGAGGACGGTAGATATGATTTTCTTTGTTTTATCTCCAATTCATATCTTTATAACACTGAGTGTTGAGTAAATATTTAGTTTTAAAAATATAAATTGTCTTTTATTACAGTTGGTAACCCCCTTTTTAAAACCAAGTCATAGGTTTGCTAGGAATCACAGAAGCTTAGACACTTAAAATGAAAGAGGAATACTTCCTACCTGAAGCCTGCTTGTTTCTCATTTTTAAAGATGACAAACCAGCTCCCAGACGGAGGTGACTCCTTCAATATTGCAGGACCATGAGCAGCTGAGGCAGGATCAGAACACCTGCTCTCTCCTCTCTAGTGTGCACACCTTTCATGGAGTGAACCTGTCATTTCAAATTCGATAACATCATCCAGGACACCCAGGACATGTCAGACCGGGGCCAGGTCCTTTCACAACATTAACCTCAGTTTATAACCAGTGAAGATAATGAAATTCCTTGAGGCCACACTTGTATTCTCAGTCCAGAGATGATGAGAGTCAGGTTCCCTGGGCGTTCCTCCCAAAGGTCTGTTTAAAAAGCTGAACAGCAGGGCTGGCCCACTGGCATAGCGGTTAAATTCACGCTCTCCACTTTGGAAGCCCGGGGTTCACAGGTTCACATCCCGGGTGCAGACCTAGCCCTGCTCATCAAGCCATGCTGTGGAGGCATCCCTCACACAAAACAGAGGAAGAGTGGCACAGGTGTTAGCTCAGTGGCAATCTTACTCAAGCAAAAAGAGGAAGATTGGCAACAGATGTTAGGTGAGGGCCATCTTCCTCACAAAAATTTAAAAAGATAAATCAATGATAAAGCTGAGCAAGACCAAGATTTGTTAGGTTTGGGGGTACTTCCCTTTAAAGAACATGAAAAGACACCATCAAGCGTCCTTTCATGAGCCCTGAAGGACTCAGAGAATGAAACAAAAGTGCACTATAAAGGGATTATGAGAATTTGGTTTGGAGATAAAAAGAAGACATCAAGTATGATTTGTCTTAGGGATGTATGGTAAGCCAGGATATAGGAAAAATTTAAAATGAAATATGTTCTTGGCGTTAGTGTTGGTGGTGCTGTGGTTTCTAAAGTGGGGGGCATAAGACAATACACGGCTGTGTGGGAAGAGAATCTTAGAACCACTATCTGTATTTGTGTTTATCACATATATTTAAATTGGTTTTTTTGTGTATGTTTGTAATATGCACAATGCATTTTTACCACAGTTCTTGTGACATTACTTTATAAAGAAATAGATGTACATAGATTGGGGGTTTATTCATGCATAAAATAAAGCCAACAAAATTTGGGGGGGAAAAAGCAAGAAAACTTTCTTAATGAAAAGCAAGAATTATTATAAAGTTATGTTAATCAGAATCCTCTGTTCCTGGCACAGGAATAGACAAAACAGGGACTTGGTCCAATGTGTAAAGTTGTGCATACACAGTGACTCCACCTCCAGCTGTTTCCCTACAGACACTGTCACTTATAAATGGACACATGCAGTGAAAGGAAGTGAGAGGACAGAAAGGGCTGTGTGAGCCTCTGGAAGCTTAGTTATCACAGGGGTGGTGATGAAGAACAGGGGGAGAAATAACGGATTCGTCAATAATTTGGAGGAGAAATTGGATCTCCACAGTCAGATTCCTACCTTACTCCTGTACACAAAAATTCAATTCAAACCAGATCAAAGAAATAAATGTGCAGAACAAAGCCTTAACAGTGTTAGAAACATATCAATGAGAATATGTTTATGCTTGAAGGTAAGGAGCAAGCTTTCTGAATATTGCAAGGTAAGGAATAAACTTTCATAGATCTGCAAAAAAGTAGAAGTACATGGCTTGTCAGACAGTAGAGCCAGTTAAAGCTGGTTCATGCAGTGGACAATTCTTCTTGCCTGAGGTCACAGCAGTGAGAAGGAACTGGAGTTTCCACTTGTGGTTCTGGTGGGATTGTCATGGAGAAATGTGATGACCTGTTAGAGCAGCAGCATCCATGGTGTGATAAGAGAGGAGGGCTTTGTGTGTTGGCAGGAAGCCCATGAGCACCATTCTAGAATGCATTCTTGTGTCAGGCTGGGGACCTGCCCATTTGAGAGGGAGAGAGGTCACCCTATCTGTTCCTGCTGGGACAGCAGCTCTGAAAAACCAACTGGAATAAGAATCAGTGCAGAGGGCAGTAAAAGACACACATTTCACCTTTCACCCTAAAATTCTAACTTATTTTATAGGGTGATACCCAGAACCTGTACTTTTATTCAAACATCCCAGGTGCTTCTGAGGCAGGTGGGCCATGGACCACAGTTTGAGAAACACTGTTCTAGAAACTTCAACTCTAAGCTAGAGTCAAGGTTAAGAGATCTGGCAGAAAGTTGGAGGATCCAATATGCAAGAGACCACACAAGTGTGAATCCAGCATTCCTGTACTTTGGTGTTAATTTTATAACCCTAAACTTGGATGAATATGGCAGCTGCAACACTTTTGTTTATGATGTTTCAATTCAAATATACGCTATTCATTGCTTGATTGTTCACCCAAAGTGTCCCTTAATTTTATTATTGAGAAAAAATAATCTGATAGACTCATTCCAGTTTAGGACCTGGCCAAGTCAAGGTTGGGGGAGGGGTGAAGGGAGCTTGGGCTTTCCTTGTTGAGGACAGAACAGTTCTGGTGAGGCTGAACTTCAAAAGAAGCTGTGAGTAGAACACAATGGTTGGCATCTCTACCGCAATCACCTTGCTCCTACACTTTCACTGTCTCAACAGCCATGGTTGGTTATGGTGAAGGAAATATCAGTTTGTCTAAGAGATAAGTCAGATGCCAGCTTGAGGTCTTCATGAAGTCCAAAGTCTTCATTCCATCATTTCTCATTCTCCTGAGGAAGGCAGGAGCTCCTTTCCCAGCCATTTTCTCTGGGAAATGATTGGATAAATGATTAGGCACCATTAGCCTTCCCACACTGCTCTGCTAAATGTCTCCTCAAAGAGATCAAAACTAGGTGACATTTTCTGTCCCAGGACGCGGACTGAATGGACTCCACCAGCTCCTAGGAGACCTGAAAGAACATGCTGTCTGCCAGATTGCTTGCCTAAGGCCTGAGGATGGGAGATCCATCTTTAGAAAAGTGCTATGGCTCATGGGGGAGAAGGGAGGCCAGTGGGATAGGAGGGTGAAGACTGGACGCTGAGCTCAGGGTCTCTCATGTTCAGAGCACAGTGAAGTCAGGGCAGGAAGGGGGCAAGGGCTGGTCTATCCTGCGTGTCAAGGCTGCTCTTGGCAGCCACAAGCAAAATTTTCAGTGCAGGATAGAGGAGGTTGCTATCACTGTGCCTCTCCCAGGCAGCACAGTAATACACAGCAGAATCACTTTCTTCCAGAATTTGGATATAAAGTTTACAGGTTCTCCCTGTGCCTTCATAAGCTTGGTATTTCTGTGATCTGATTCCAGGTTCAACCACAACCTTTGAGCTGGAGAACTGGTAGTAGAGAAGTCGTCGTGGGGCCATCCCCTCCTGGTATTGGTACCAGTGGATGTAGTCGCTGCTTTGTTTAAGATCACAAGTGATCAAAACAGATGACCCAGCTTGCCTGATGAATACCATCTGTATCCCTTCCATGTTGGAAGATACCTGAGTGGCTGCAATGGGAACGACAAAAAGTAATGAGGAAGAGCTCATAGAATTCCTCAGTACGGCCTCCCGTTGCCAAAAAAGAGAAAAATCCTAGGAACGTGGAGGCAGCACACTTACCAGGAGCCAGGAAAGCTAGAAGGAGGGCGAGAGCCCACAGCATGCCTTCCTCCTCGGGCCTTAGAAGGAAAGGGACAGACGACAGGAGGGGCAGACACCCTCTCACACACCAGTCCTGCTCCGAAGACAGGGAGCCAAGGACAAAAGGACAGAGTCACAGGCGGGCTCTGCACAGCTGTCACAGGCAGCAGTGACTGAGGGGTTCTCCTAGAAGACCACCCAGCTGATGACCCAGAGGGGGTGGGGCTGGGGGAGGCCTGGGGAGGAGCCTGCCTCTCTGCTCAGCCCATTTCCTGACAGCCTCCTGGGGCAGGCTGAGAGCAGGCCCTCTGCAGGAGAGGAGGAGCCAGGAGCCCTGAGAGCCCAGAGCAGAGGGAGGGACAGCCTGAGCCAAGGGAGGGGCCAGGAAAGCCATGGATGAGCTGCTTGTCCCCTGGTGCAGGGAGTGGTCCTGAATCTGGGAACTTTAGTAAAAGAAATTGGGGGCGGCCTACTCGGGGGCGTGGTGGTTAAGTTCACGCCCTCCTCTTTGGTGGCCAGAGGTTCGCAGGATTGTATCCCAGACACAGACCTTTGCACTGCTCCTCATGCCATACAGCGTATTTTCTTTCCATAGAAGTTTAAAAGGAGCTGTCCCTGAACATTTTCATACAGTCAGTCTGGCCTCAGACAGAGATGGGAAGCAATGACTCTAATCAAATCATTACTCATCACATGAGACTAAAATAGGAGTTGACGGTGGAGGAGAGAGGAAGCAACATTAAGAGGACAAAGGGGCCCAGTTCCTGTCCCTGGGCCCTGTGCTGCTCTGTGCCGCCCTGCAGCTTCCCAGACAGCAGCAGCATCTCCTGCCAGTGCTGGGGCAGGGCTGGGCAGGCACTGTTTCCAGGGAAGCTGAGTGTATCCCAGAAACCTCCACCAAATCTTCTCATCCTGCTTGCTCTTCCCACAGGCGCTGTGGCTGCCAGGTGCGTGCGGTCTTCAGGGAACTGCAGGTTCTGATCCGCTCCACGTGGTGCCAGCCTTCCAGAGTTCCTTTCCCTGTGAATGGACCAGTCATGAGCTCAGCATGGGAGCCCAGCTCCCTGGGCAGCAGAGGATGTAATCCGATACCTTGAGCTGAGGGGACATGGTCCTTCTCAGGACAGAGCTGACAAAAAGGACCCTTTGGAGAGTTTGACGTGAGACCTTGTAACTCTGTGAGGTTATATTACTTTGAAAAAGAGAGCATGACAGCTCGGGTCCAAGCACTGCCACTCGGAGAATGTGTCCTGGGAAAGTCTCTGTAAGTGGGAATAATGACACTTCCTCTGGATTCATCATCCACCACGTGTCAAGGATTGTGCCAAGTTGTTTGTTTTTTAATTAGACGCTATCTAAGTCAATCTTAGGTACAATTTAATTCTTGTAACAAGTTAATCCTTATAACAATACTTCAAAGTAGTTATAATCAACCCAATTTGCCAGATGAGATCATAGGCATCTTAGAAAAGGTTTCATCTGCTCGGGGTCACTTATGAAGTGGGTCATGGAGCCTGGATTCAAACCCAAGTCTAACAAATTCCAAAACCCATGTCACCATCCATTCAATGTACACAGAACTCAGTATATATTTATAGATTTTCTTTTTAAACTGTAAAGTGTAAGGGACCAGGAAGAAAATTTCTGAAAGTTTGCAGAAACTCAAAAATAACTCTCACATGCCAGCAAGCAAAGAGCAGAAGATATTCTTGAAGAGTAGTCGTTAAATTAATAGTGGTGGACCTCAAAAGGTAGTAGAAATTTCTTGTAACATTTTTCAGTTGAGCAGTTCACCTTTTGTAAAAGTTAATTTTTTAAGTCATAACAGAAATCACTGATCCATGAAACGATTACAAATATCATTTTCTGAATGTCAAACATTGTGCATATTTATTCCTTCCTTGCAAGAGTAAAGTAGGTGTTACTGATCCCCATTTTGCGGATGAAACAGAGGATTAGGGAGGTTAAGTAACTTAACTCGTGGTTGCCTAGTTAATAAAGAGCACACCAAGAATTTGAACCAAGTCTGCGCATCTCCAGGGCCTGTGTCCTAAGTAACCCACTTGGTTGTTTGTGATTCAGAGATTAATTTCTGTCCTTAGTGGGCCGTTGCATTTGAATGCATTATGTGATGTTATTATACTTCCTATTTGTTTTCAGTTCCCTGCTTCCTGCTTTAAAATACGGTATTTTGACTGCATTTAGTTACTTATACTACCTTCTAGCACCCCCTCCTGGCTATTTTGAGTTAATTTTTGTGTATGGACGAGGTAAGGAGCTAAATTCCTTCTTTTACCCATGGATATCCAGTTGTCTCAGCACCATTTGTAGAAAAGACTATGCTTTCACCATTGAATTAACTCAGAACGTTTCTCAAAAGCTTCTTGAACCGTTAATGTCAGGGTTTATTTCTGGAGTCTCAGTTCTCTCCATTGACCTGTATGCTCTTACTGTCCCATGACCACAGTGGCTTGATGACTGTGATTTTATTTTTATGTAACTTTGAAATCAGGCTCTGTAAGGCCTTGTTTGAAAGGCTTGCCCTGCTTTCCGCAATGATCTCAATTTTCTAAATAATGAACCTTGTCAGACCCTCTGGTGTGTGTGGCATCATCAGTCTCAACATCCAAATCTCTTTTGGGGCGTTCCCTCACCCCACCACTTTTGCAGGGTGACCATAACAGTCCTCCAACTTTGTTCTTTGTCAAAGTTATTTTGGCTATTCTAGGTCATTTGTGTTTTCATGTAAATTTTAGGATGAACTTGTTAATTTTTGCCCCAAAAGCCTGCTGCACTGAATTTATAGATCAGTTTTGGGAGAATTGCCATCATGACAATACCGAGTCTTCTAATCCATGAACATGGACTCTCCCTACATTTATTTAGATATTATCTAATTTCCTTCTGCATTGTTTTATAGTTTTCAGCATATATGAGTTGTTCTTCTTTTGTTAGATTAATTCCTAAGCATTTTACTCTTTTTGGCCCCATGGTGAATGTAATTGTTTTGTTTTTTTACTTTCATTTTCAAATTGTTCATTGCTAGTATATAGAAATACAATTGATATTTTGTATGTTGAATATGTTTGTCTGTGACTTTGCTAAACTTGTTTATAGATTCGATTGGTTTTATGTGTGTGGATTCCATGGAATTTTCTACATACGGGATCATGTCGTCTGTGGATAGAGACTATTTTACTTTTTCCTTTTCAATCTGCTGGATATCTTCAGTTGTGTTTTTTTCTTATTGCAGTGTCTAGAACCTCCAACATAGTGTGGAATAGAAGTGCCAAGAGCGGACAGCCTTGTGTTGTGCCTGGTCTTTGGGGAAAAGCATTCAGTCTTTCAACATGAAGTGTGATGGTAGCTGTGGGTTTTCACTGATGCCCTCTGTCAGGGTGAGGAAGTTCCATTTAATTCCTAGTGTGTAGAGAGTTTTTATCATGAATGGGCATTGGAATTTTCAAACTTTTTGTGTGCGTTGACTGAGATGATCCTGTGGTTTTTGTCCTATAATCCATTAATATGGTACATGACATCAATTGCTCTTTGGATGTGAAGTCAACTCTTTGCATCCAGGAAAAATCCCACTTGATTATGTTTATAATCCATTATGTACGGTTCTGGATTTGATTTGCTTTACTTTCTTGAGGGTTTTTCTATCCATGCTCATGATTTTTGTACCTACTGATCTGTGGATTTCTTTTTACGCCTTTGGCTTTGATATGCTGGTCTCATAGAACACATTAGGAAGTGTTCCCAACACCTGTATATTCTGAATGAATCCTTCCTGTGAAGGATCATATTACTCCTTCTTTAAATGTTTGATAGATTCTCCAATGAAACCATCTGGGCCAGGGATTTTCTTTGTGGAAACATTTTGAATTAATAATTCAGTTTCTTCACTTCTTTTACATAGGTCTATTCAGAATTTTTACTTATTCTTGAGTTTGTTTTGTTAATTCATGTTTTCTAGGAAGTTATCAATTTCTTCTAAATTATCCAGTTTGTTGACATAAATTATGTATACTATTATCTTATAATTACTTTTTAATTTCTGTAGGATTCGTGGTGATATGCTTCCTTTTTTTCTTGATTTGGTAATTTCTGTCTTCTCTCATTTCTGCTTTGTAATTCTAGCTTGAGGATTGTCAAAGTTGTTGATATGTCCAAAGAACTAACCTTTATTTTCATTGGTTTTTCTCTCAGTTTTCTGTTTTCCATTTCAATTATTTCCATTCAAATTTTTATTATCTCCTTTATTCTGCTTGGGCTGGGTTTAGCTTGCTCTTCTTTTTCATGATTGATTTTTAGATCTTTTATCTTTTTCAATATAGGCATTAAAATCCATAAATTCCCCCTTAGGCGTGCTTTAGTGACATCTCATAAACTTTAAAGTATTGTATTTTCATGCATTCCTTGGTTATAAGCAGATTTCCTATGATGTGTCCACATGTGGATCTCTTTGTATGTATCCTAATCAGTGGTTTCTTAGCTTATTAGATGTGTGGATCAATATTTCTCAACAAATTTGGTGATTTGGGGCCATTATTTCTTCAAATATTTTACCTGATAATTCTTATTCCCTCTTCTCTTTTTCTGGGAGCCCCATTACATGTATGTTGGTGTGCTTGATGTTCTCTCATAGTCCTCTGAGCTCTGTTCAGTTTTTCTTCATCCTTTTTTCCCTCTGTTATACAGATTGGATAATTTCTATTGCTGTACCTACAAGTTTACAGATTGTGTCTTTTGCCAACTTGAATATTCTCTTAACCCCCTCTACTGAATATTCCACTTCAATTATTATAATTTTCTACTCGATTTTATTTTATTTATTTTTTTTTTAAAGATTTTATTTTTTTTTTTTTCCTTTTTCTCCCCAAAGCCCCCGGTACATAGTTGTGTATTCTTCGTTGTGGGTTCCTCTAGTTGTGGCATGTGGGACGCTGCCTCAGCGTGGTCTGACGGGCAGTGCCATGTCCGCGCCCAGGATTCGAACCGACGAAACACTGGGCCGCCTGCAGCGGAGCGCGCAAATTTAACCACTCGGCCACGGGGCCAGCCCCTCGATTTTATTTTTTAACCTGTTTATTTTGTAACGTTCCTCCTTGAGAATCCATGTTTGTTGATTT